AGACATCGCGCCAGACCGCGCCTCTCCTCTCCCCCTTCCCCTGGAACCCTTCCAGCTGGGACCCAGAGTCTTGCTGGGAACTAGGCCAGGCCTTGAGCAGGGGGTAGCGAGCAGGAGTTTCGGTCAGAGCGCGGTCATCTTTGATGTTGTTCACTCGGGTCTGACTCCGCGGTATTTATTTGCAATTAAGGAGCTGGTTCCTAATTAGGCTGATGGCGGGACCACAGCCCTGGAGCCACGAGAAGCAAAAGATCTTCTGCAAGAGACTGTCCTCTCGCGGCCTGAGTGGCAGCCCAGGCCGCAGACGAGAGGTGTGGTGGGTCGGGTGGGGCTCTGCGTCTGTGCGGAGTGGAGAGGTGACCCTGGGTTTGGGGGTGCCTGCCTTCTCACAGAGGGCGGGTCAGCTTGTTCTGAACACACGGCATGAGATCTGAATACGTGTGTGTATGTGTGTGTGTGTGTGTGTGTGTGTAAATAGAACCCCAGGAGCACTCATCTGTGTCCCCCACGTTCAGTTATTCATTGCTTCACCCTTCATTCCTTCGCTTACTGAGCATCTCTTTGCATCTCAGGTACCGGGCTGGGAGCTAAACCTTAACATTTGTAAAGTACTTTACCGTTTGCAAAGGGCATTACCGTCCATTGTCCTATTGTAACTTCCCGTGCTGGTGACCCTGGGTCGTGACCCGTGACACCCCTAAGGAGCCCTAGCCTTGGAAGGGTTAGGCCAGCGCTGGGATGGATAAACAGACAGCTGCTTCTTTCTGCTCCCGATTGGTCTGCTGCCAGAGTTGCCAGAAAATCCAAAGATGGACTGTGCAAATGAGGCGCTCAGTTATGAGTAAGTCCGTTTTACAAATGGGGAGACTGAGGCTTGGGGACATTCAGTGGCTTGTTCATGGCCACATATCCAATCAGTGGTGAGAGCTTAGGTCTGTCTCACTAGGAAACCTTTTGGATCATGTGACAAGCATTAGGTTAGAATCTGGGGTCTCTAGTTCTGGTCCCACTTCTGCCACCCACTGCTGTGTGTCCTTGGGCAAGTCACCCGGTACCCCCGGGGGTGCCATCTTGGAGGCACAAGGACATTGGACTCAACTGATAGTTCCCACAGGCCAGCCTCAGGACTAAGTTTTCATTGGCCCATGGTGAAAGAAATAAGAAAATTTCTTATAATCTAAATGTATTAATTTAAAATTTTCTGATTTACGTCTTACCTATTTTGTGAGTATCAAATTACTTTCTTTTGTGCTAGTGATAGTAGATGGTCTTGGGGTTTTAATAAGTCTGTATGTGACAAAATGAAACCGTGGTGACCTTATGACATTCCCAACCCCTCCATTAAACAGTGCATTTGTTTGTGAAAGCCCAAAGCATCGGCGCTCCCTGGATGAGGTGATGCCGGGGGAACCCTCCAGCTCTGGAGCCCAGAGGCCTTCAGAGCTAGGTGGGGACGGGGATGCCCCAAGCATGGTGATGGGCTCCCCTGCCGGCCTGCTCTCTCAGGATCAGACCTGAGACCCTAGTCCTTGCCCAGCATCCCCTTGGGCCTGAGGGCATCGGTCCCGCCTGCTGGGCAGGATTCCTGTGGGGGGTAGGGGTGAGGGCAGTGCCAACACTTGGGATCTATTTTATTTCCTTCCTTCTTCCCTTGTAGGTGTTCCAAGAGCAACCTGGGGACACATGCAGACTTGGGACAGATGTAGAAAGGACTAAGACCCACCCCTTCCTCCTTGAGAGCTGAGGCCAGCCAGGGGCACAGACACTTGCTCAGGCCAAGGGAGGGACTGCATTTAAGGCTCTAGGCGCACAGGAGGGAGAGGTCAGAGAGGGCTTCTCAGAGGCGGCAGTCCATCCCCTGGAATTTGGAAGACCTGGCCTGGAGCCCAGGCCTGATGAGTTGTTACACACTCTGTTCAACCAAAGAGGCCGCGGAAAGTGAGGCCTGGCCCGGGCAGTGTCCCTGAGCACCATGGATGGGGCAGGCTGGGCCCTAGGGCAGCTCCGGGGTGGAGGGGTGAGGGGCTGGGGTTCATCCCCACTCACAGGGTCCCATCCCCCTGCGAAGAGCGCTGACTGGGGCAAGGCCAGGGACACAGGTGTTGATGAGATGGGGGTAGAGGGTGAGGGCGCATTTGGCTCGGCTGGGGTGGGAGGTACTGAGAGGAGGGGGACAGGAAGGCCCACTTGGCCTTGAATTGCAAGCCTTTTAGGAGCTGGGAGGGAGGAATTACCCCGCCCCCTCAACCCCATTACCCCCACTCCCTGACTGTTAAACTGCCTCTTTGCCTTTTACAACGGAGTGGCTCTCTCCTGGGGCAGAGCTGCCGCTTTATGACTAGGGTGGCCCTCTCTGAGCTTATCTGTAGAGGGGACGGCAGTACTCCCTCACTCAGTGGGACTGGCTGAGTCTTCAGGGAATGAAGACCTTTCGTTTCTGGGGCGGGCGGTGACTCACCGGCTTGTGGGTGAGCACCTCCGGGACACACAGACCACGAGAGCAGTCATGGTTACAAACGGGGTGAGGTTTCGAGAAGGGGGGCATTTGCTTGGTGCCTGAGTTTTGGGGGGTGTCTGCCCGGAGTATGAAGAGCTCCCCTCGGGAGTGTGGCCTGGCACTGATGCTGGCTCCAGCACTCACTAGTGTGTGCCCTTGACCGGTTATGGCACCTCCCTGGGCCTCAGTTACCACACCTGTGAACTGGGGTGATAACGGGTGCAACCAAGGCCGTTGTGAAGAAGGCGCCTGGCTCGTGCAAGGCACTCAGGGATGCCTGTTGTCTGTCTTGTCACCCGACATTGTCCAGGCGTAGCTTCTTTGCTTCTTTGCCTCTCCGGGCCTAGTGCGCTAATGGAGTTCTTGTTGCTTGGTGAGAAGGTTGGTGTTGCAGTTTCACGGCCAGGCTGGGATGGTGCTGCTCTCCTGGCTCTTGGAAACTCTCAGACCAGTGCTGGATGGATGGATGGAGAAAGGGGCAATGGCTTGGGGTGTTCCTAGCTGTCCACCTGCTGGGGCTGGCCTAGTGCCCGCAGCTGTGTCACCTACCAGGGGCTAGAGCTGTCTCTCTGCCCACTGGCTAAGGGGCAAGTTAGCTGAGGGCAGGGAGCAGGGCCTCTTTCTCCCATCCCGACCATCATCTAGAACCACGAGGCGCCTGGATGGGGGACTGTGAGACAAAATGATATGTCCTCAGGGGCTGGCCTGGGGACCTGTGGCTGGGATCTTAATGCCAGGCAGAGGGCAAGGTGCATGCCCTTTGGGACTGTGCCCAGCCCCAGGCCACAGCAGGGCAGGCAGCCCACAGGAGGCCCCTCAGGTGGACATTTTCCTGCTAGGTGGGCCTCCCAGCACATAAGAGAATGTCAGGAGCCCTGTCACCCAGCTGCTCTGGGGCCTCTAGGCGGGGCTGGGCTGAAGGCAGACAGAGCTGACCTCACCCAGGCTCCTGACGGAAGTTGTTGGCAGTGCTTTCTCCCTCGGGTTTGATAGGACCTTTTTTTTTTTTTTTTTTTTTTTTTTTGCGATACGCGGGCCTCTCACTGTTGCGGCCTCTCCCGTTGCGGAGCACAGGCTCCGGACGCGCAGGCTCAGCGGCCATGGCTCACGGGCCCAGCCGCTCCGCGGCATGTGGGATCTTCCCGGACCGGGACACGAACCCGCGTCCCCTGCATCGGCAGGCGGACTCTCAACCACTGCGCCACCAGGGAAGCCCCTGATTGGACTTTGATCTGTTTCTTTTGGAGAAGCCGAGCCATAAAGGGCCTCAGTGCGTCCTCATCAGGCCTCCAGCAGACCTTCGCCCTCTGCAAAAGCCCCAGCCAGGGGCCTGTGTGGGAACACATAACCCCACCGGGCAGTCATGGGTGCCCACCTGCTTGTCAGAGCCCTGAGCTCAAAGGAGAGACCAGATGTCAAAACGCTTCAGAATCTGAGAAGCCGGCCACACCTGAGAGCAGTGAGGAGGGGGCTGCCCTTCAAGATGGGCCCCTTGCCTATACCTGGTATTACGCCTGGTCTCAGAAAATTGTTAAATTCATGCAGACATGTAGAGATGCCCCAGGCTGGAGTGCGGAGGGATCCCAGTCATCATCCAGGCCACCCCTTTGCCGTCTATGGGGAAACTGAGGCCCGGAGAGGAGCCACTGGCAAACTGGAGCCCTTGAGGAGCGATTTCCTTTTGCACTTAGAGACCCTCTGCTTCTCTGTCTCACAGAGGCGGCTACAGTTCTGGTGAAAAGCTGCACTTCCTGCCCAGAGAGCCAACTTGAGGGGCCGGGGGTGGGGGTTACTGGGAGACCCTGCGTAACGCTCCAGGCTGAGGCTGGGCGCCGTCGGGCAGCCGCGATTCCCATTCTGGGCCGGAAGAGATCCTGGGGGCCACATTCCCCACCGCACCACGCCTTCCTATGCCTGAGTCCCCTCTGAGGGGCGGTTTATGCCCTCTGATAGCTTCACCCCGCTCTGTTCAGGTTGAGGCTTGGACTGACCGGGTTCAAATCCCGGTGGTGCCACTCGCCGGCTGAGTGGCCTTGGGCAGGCTGCTTGGTGGCCGCCAAGTCTCGGACGCTCATCTGTAAAGTGAGAAGGTGGCCTCCGCACGATTATGGGAGGACCCAGTGAGTCACGTGCGGAGTGAGGAGTGCAGAGCGCAGCACCCGGAACAATGTAGGTGTTCACCAGTCAGTCCCTCCCTTGGGTGTGTGGGTGTGTGTCCCTCTCCTGCTGGCTTGTAAAATTCTACAGGCAGGAGCCGGGTGTGGCTCGTGTTTGGGTACCCACAGGCCCCTGGCACATTAGGTGCCTTGCCTCCGTGTGTGTCTGGGGGTGGGGTGGGCGGTGAGGTCCTGCTGTGGGTTGAATCTGAGGACGGCCTGGTCCGCAGTAGTGCTCCCCATGTCTGTTGGGCGCCAGAGACCCCCTTCAAAGCCCACCGGCCAGGCGGCAGTGCCACTTCCGCTGCCCTGGAATAACACCCGCGTGCCCTGTGCTTGCCCTGCAGACGCCAGCATGTCTCCGGATGCCACCAAGCCGAGCCACTGGTGCAGCGTGGCCTACTGGGAGCACCGGACACGGGTGGGCCGCCTCTACGCGGTGTATGACCAGGCCGTCAGCATCTTCTACGACCTACCTCAGGGCAGCGGCTTCTGCCTGGGCCAGCTCAACCTGGAGCAGCGCAGCGAGTCGGTGCGGCGCACGCGCAGCAAGATCGGCTTCGGCATCCTGCTCAGCAAGGAGCCGGACGGCGTGTGGGCCTACAACCGCGGCGAGCACCCCATCTTCGTCAACTCCCCCACGCTGGACGCGCCCGGCGGCCGCGCCCTGGTGGTCCGCAAGGTGCCCCCTGGCTACTCCATCAAGGTGTTTGACTTCGAGCGCTCCGGCCTGCTCCAGCACGGGCCCGAGCCCGACGCCGCCGACGGCCCCTACGACCCCAACAGCGTCCGCATCAGCTTCGCCAAGGGCTGGGGTCCCTGCTACTCCCGGCAGTTCATCACCTCCTGCCCCTGCTGGCTCGAGATCCTCCTCAACAACCACAGATAGCAGCCCGCCACCCGCCCGGCCAACGGGGGCCCTGTGCCCAGAGACACAGCCCCCACGGACGACCCCCCCCCCCCCAAACCCCCCCTCCACTATATCCAGAGTGACCCGCATCTGATCCTGTCATTCCCTTTCCCATTTGTGTGTGTGTTTTTTCTTTTCTTTCTTTCTTTTTTTTTTTTTTTTTTTTGTCAAGTGTGGCCCTGGGCCCAGCCCCGCCGAGCTGCCCCGTGTGACGCAGAGGTGCACCGGGCAGTGAGAGAGGAAACGCAAGGGGGCTCAGTGCCAGACCGCCGGCTGACCTCTGTGACCTGAGGCGGGAAGCGTGGGCTGAGCCCCGAGCCCCACTGCCGCCACCTCACCAGTGACCCCATTTGTCAGATGAGCAAACCGAGGCCCAGGAACAAGGCTAAAGATGCTTGGCTGACCAGCGATGGTGGGGGAGGGGCCGTGCGACAGATGCTCTGCGCTGCCCCCTGAAGACCTGGGGGCGGCACTGCGGCCGCCTACGGAGGGCACTCGGCCCCTGCCCAAGGGTCCTCAGCTGGCTGCGCAGGAGCCTTCCAGAGCCCCTCTCAAGCGAGGAGCCAGGACAGCGAGGTCCTGGGTCCGCGTTCTCGGGCAGTGTGACCCGGGTACCTCGTGCCCCTTCTGGGCCTCCGCTTCCCCGAATGAGCCGGCTGGACGCTGTCTGTAGCTTTCCATCTGGCTCCGGGGACCCACGGCCTGTCACCGCCCCACGTCGGTGGGCCCTGGCGGAAAGGACAGTGGCTCCCCCCCCCCCCGCGCCCCCCCGGGCCGCCCCCCCCCCCCAGATATCATCTACCTAGATTTAATATAAAGTTTTATATATTATATGGAAATATATATTATACTTGTAATTATGGAGTCATTTTTACAATGTAATTATTTATGTATGGTGCAATGTGTGTATATGGACAAAACAAGAAAGACGCACTTTGGCTTATAATACAGATATATTTTCTTTCTTCTCCTTCCTCTTCTTTATGTTTTTTTGTTGTTGTTGTTGTTTGTTTGTTTGTTTTTTAAAGAAAATGATACAGCAGAGCTAGGTGGAAGAGCCTGGGTTTGGTGTATGGTTTTTGAAATATTAATGCCCAGACAAAAAGCTAATACCAGTCACTCGTTGATAATAAAGTATTCGCATTATAGTTTTTTTTTTTTTTTTTTTAAACTGTCTTTTTTTTAACAAAGAGGAGCATGCAGGGCTTCTGTGGGTTTCTGACCCGTCAGGCATCCTGAAACTTGATTTCAATCTTTTACCGCTTAAAGAGTAGAGGGAATTACACTGAAAAGGGAGGAAGGACATATGTTTGCTCTTAAGGCCAGAGAAGTTTCTGTTGTTCCTTCCCACCCGTGGCTGTAGTGTGTCCACAGGATTCAGGGGGAGGAGGGAGAGTACATGGGCCATCCATCCTAGGTAAGCTTTTCCAGTCTGATGGGGGAGGCTCGTGCTCTGGCCTAGAGGAACTCTCAGCCTGATGGGGAAGACTTGGGTCCATGCCTCTCATCTCTGAGCTGTCTGCAAGCTAGAAAACATTAATTCTCACCACTTTGGGGAAATGGCCTGTGGAAGAAAGACTGAGATGGTGGGTCTTGAACCCACCTACCACCTCACAGAAGCCACCTGAGCCCCAGGGTGAAACTCCTTTTAGGACCTAGATAAGCTACCCTCCCTTCCCCCCACCAAGTAGCTCAGAACCTGCCCATCTGGAACTGTAGTCATGATTGATGCAAAGGCAGGTGGTTTCTTTCTACTCTATAAAAGGGAAAAGTTAAGGTTCTGGAAGGGTAAATGACAAGCTCATGAGACAGATCAAGGTTAGAAGTTAACCAGAGCCATATCAATTAAATCAGTTTCCACTCTTGAGAAAACTCAAAAAAGAAGGCCTTCTTGGCCAAATAACTAAGGGGAATGTTACATTGTATATCTTCTTTCTTGGAGATTTACATTAGCCTATTAAATGCTCTGAGAAGTCCTGTGTGTTATCTATTGCTGCGTAATAAATGATCCTAAAACTTGGCAGCTTGAAACAACTCACATTTATTATCACAGTTTCTGTGTTCAGGAATGCAGGAGCAGCTTAGCTGGGTGGATCTGGTTCAGGGTCTCGTGAGGCTGCAGTCAAGCTGTCTGCCAGGGCTGTAGTCATCTGAGGCTTAACTGGGGCTGGAGGACCCACTTCCAAGCTCGCTCACGTGGCTGTTGGCTGGAGGCCTCAGTTCCTTGCCACGTAGGCCTCTCCATTGGACTACTCATGACGTGGCAGCTGATCCAAAAGAGAGAGACCGAGTGTGAAGCTGCTGTCTTTCCTAACCTTATCTCAAAAGCGTCCCGCCATCACTTCTGCCATATTCTGTTGATCACACAAACCATTCTTGCTGCAGTGTGGGGGGGGGAGTAAGGGTGGGGGGACCACACAAGAGTGTGACTGCCAGGAGGTGGGAATCATGGCCACCACATCCTCCAAGAACTACCCTCTTTCACTTGGTTTCCCAAAGTTATATGCCAGTGGACTCCTTCCCCACCCCTGCTAATTCTGTCCCCATACCCAGGCCGGCCAGCCCAGACCCTTTCACTCCACTCTGCCACCCTCAGACCTGAGCTTCCCAGGAGGCCCTACTCCTTCTGCTGTCCCCACTATCCAGGCCTTGGTCCTCCTGGGGCGCAGTGAGCAGAGCTGGGCTGTGCTGTGTGAGGATGGGCAAGGAGTCACTGTATCTGTCTTCTTTTCAAGTCAGTGACAACTGGCACTAACTCACTGTTTGTGAGTCCTTCCTACTCGTGAAGTGACTTTGATGCATCCTGTCTTCACAAAAACCTCTGCGGGGGTGTTCTCTGCCATTCTCCTTTTCCAGATGGAGGAATGGATGCTTACACAAATGCTGTCATTTGCCCAAGCTCCCTGGGGGGGAAAGGAACAAACCTCTGTCTCAGATGTTGGCTGGGTGTCCTCTTACGTGCTGGTTGTGATAGGCTTTGCTGGAGTGGGCCTGCCCCTTGGGGACGGTCAGTGAGCCTGAAGGGCTGAACTCTGGGGGCCCAGGGGCCTCAACCTTGCAGCAATCTTGGTCCAAGGCCTGCCCTGTCCTGAGGCTGAGTACCTCCCTAAGGTCCTTGGGTGGCCTCGAGTGTTAAGAGATAAGGCCTGGTGGCTGCCTTTCTTTGTGGGTGTCTGAGACTCCAGTTCTAGCCCCTCAGTTCACACAGGGAAACCAAGTCCCAGACAGAACAGGCTGAGTTGCTTAGGGCACAAGTGGCGCTAGGACCTGCTGCCCTCCCCCTTTCCCGGTTGTGGTGCTGGCAGAAACTCTGTGGTTTCCCCCAGACCACCCAGGGATCCAGTGACTCAGGCTCCAAAGAAGACACTTTCTAAACAAGGCCCCGTCTCTGG